TTCAATCATGAATAAACAATTATTATTAGCAATTTAAAATGTTGTTTGAAATAATTTGAAGGTCCTTAATAGTAAAGATTGTGATTAACCAGAAGTATTGTTTGGCTGGCAAGCTTCCCGTTTCCCTAGTTGGGCCTCCATCACTCCAGCAGTGCTTTGTAGCAGCTGTAGCTGTGGGACTGGAGTGGTTAAGAGCACTGTCTGCTCTTCCACAATACCTGGGTTCAATTCGCAGGATTCCGAGCACCCACGTGGCAATTTACATCCATCTCTAACTCCAGTTCTAGGGGATCCAACACCATCTTCTGACCTCTGCTATCACCGGGCACAGAACAGCTAAACACATAAAAAAAAAATTTTAAGTGAAAATTGTATTAAAGGACTAGGTATTTATATAATGTAGCTCAACTGGTATATGACTTGCCTAGCAATGCACAAGATTCTGGGTCCAGACACCAGCAACACATAAAAAACGGGGTAATAGTGCATGCCTATAATCCCCGGTGAAGGCAGGATTGCGAGTTCAAGGTCATCAAGTTTGAGACTAGAGAAAACATGAGGATCTCCCCCCACCCCCAACCCAAGAAGTTCTCAGGCTAGGGATAGAGCTCAACAGTAAAGTACTTGTCTAGCAGATGAAGCCCTAGATTCAAATCCCAGTTCTGACCCTTTTCTTTGAAGTTTGGCAAGACATTTGATTTCACTGTGCCTTTTCCCTTGTTTGTGGGCCCAATAAGAATACAACATAGGACTGCCAAAAGTTTAACAGAGGAAGCATCCAGAATAGTGCACCTTGTTAGCCTTGACCACTGAGCCCTTTCTCTAATTATAGCATGTGACATTGGCTAAGCTTGAACCCTTGCAATGCCATGTATTTTAATTTAGCCTCACAACCTGAGAGATGGTTACTTCTATCACTAATACATGAGGAAACTGGTACGACCTTAAGGTGAGACACAGCAACATTCTTTCTGACCAGACCTTCCTATTACACCCCTCTACCACCATTGAAGAAAAGTTGTTTTAAAGAACAAACAAAAAATAAAAACCTAGCTTTTGCTAAACATCAGCTCATTCCCCGTAATCCCAGTATTCAGGAGGCTAAGGTAAGATGATCATAAATTTAAGCACAGCCTGTGTTATAGTAAAAGTAAAGTCTTACCTCAAAGGAAAAAAAAACCATTCCTATCATTTTAGGTACAGATCATGTAATTCCAAATTTACAAACTGAAGAAACCAAGGCCCCAGAATTAATATTTTGCCATTTGTATTTATCTGGAAATTAAATGATACTGAGCAGCAAATCACTTCCTTTGTGAGGAGCGATTCTGAGGTTCCTAATATGCATTGGCCATATACGGTATGGCAAAAAACTATTGATATTGATATAAACTACCCCACGCCAGTCCTAGTAATAGCTTAAAGGCTGTGTTAAGTAGAGCAGAGACTTCTGATCAACCTCGAACTTTTCATTTTACACATGAGGCAGTACGTATAAGTGATAGGGCTTTAATGTTTCTAAGCTTTCTACATTATTTACTAAACACTAGTAGTAGGTGTAATGACAGGTTCCCTACCTACTAAATATATGGTGGAAACTGGGCATGGTGTCACCACCTTATATAATCCCAGCATTTAGAGACAAGCAGAAAGACCAATCACTCACTTAGGCCACCCTGGTCTACACAGGGAGTTCCAGGCCAACCAGGACTACATAGAAAGACCCTGCCTCAAAATAAAACAAAGAAAAAAACAAAAACCTGTTGTAATAAGTCTAGATTCTAGGGAGTAAAATGCAAGTAACAAAACACTCTTACCTGTATCACTGAGCCTTTCAAATTATTTTGACCAAGTTGTACTTTTATATGTGGTAAATCAGTGTGTTCAAGGCATAATTCTTTTTGAAATAAAGAGAATTCCAGACAGGTGGCAAAACACTGAATATTTATTCTAGACAGTAGTATGTAGAACACATTTAATAAATAATTCTTAGGGCACAGTTTCCACTTAAGAGCATGGACTAGCAGGCTCTCAGTGAATAAAGAAAAAGGTGATCTTTAGAGAACCAGGTCTGAACTTCATACTGTCTTCACACATTAAACAAAATGTCTTGAACACATTTTCTTTTAGTATACTAAGACAAAAATAGTTTGCTTTTATACAGGTCTCAAGAATTCCTGTTTATACATTAGATAAAATAGAAGTAATACCTTATAGCTGAGAATAAGTAAAGGTTTCAAAATGCCTGTTTAGTTTATTTTGTTCAGCTTAATCCCTGCCCTCCAAATGATCTTTAACTTCTCAAACTGTTCTTTATCCCACTTGGTAACATTTTTCATGCTCAGCAACATTACATGCTTGCCCTCTTTAAACATTTAATTTTCAGGGGCTGGGAGTGCATCCTTAAGGCTCCTAGGTTTGATCCCACCTCCACCATAATAGAGACATACTTGCATCTACAGTTTTACTTAATGTAGAAGTCCATTTGCACAGTTTAATCTTTGTGAAGAAAACAAGGTATACTCTTTGTAACCAAAGGGGGAAAAAAACTACTTATTTACCCCTTCTTTTATTCTGTCATAGAAGCACACAAAATTCAAATACTTAAGTATCTGCACCAATGAAATGTGACCCATGGGATATGTGTTTATGTGTGTTTGTATGCACATGCATACCCCATAGACATCTATATAGGTTACGAAGGTAGGTATCTAAGTTTGTATATAAATGCTGTGACCAGAGATCACACACAATTTGGGGGAAGTGTCTAATGAAGATACTAAGTGAAAGCTAGGCAAACATCTGTAGTTCCAGCACTTGGGAGGCTGAGGCAGGAAGATTGCTGTGAGACTAACCTGAACAAAATAGCAAGAGCTCCTCTCACAACCAAAACAAAACAGACAAAAAAAAAAAAGTTAAACAACACACTTCAAAAAAAGGTTCAGAGCATGGTTTGGACCATGGTTTGGAGAGGACAGATTAAGACTTCAAGGTGGAAAATGTGATTTGTTCTGAGCCTTGTCCAGACAAGGGTCTCACTGTGCAGCCCTGGGTATCCTGGAACTATGTAGACTAGACTCGGAGATCTGATTGCCTCTGCCTGCTGAGTGCTGGGATTAGAGGTTTGTGTTGTTTTTTGTTTTGTTTTGTTTTGTTTTTTGGTTTGGTTTATCGAGACAGGGTGTCTCTGTGTAGCCCCGGCTGTCCTGAAACTCGTTCTGTTTACTTGGCTGGCCTGGAACTCTAAGAGATCTGCCTCTCTCTGTCTCCCAAGTGCTAAAGGATTAAAGGCGTTTACCACCATGCCCAGCTCAAAAGTGTTTATTAATTAGAGGATTTAATGTTGTTTTGAGCTTTAAAAGGAACTATAACTGACTAGAGAGATGTTTACTCTGGAGATTCAAGTTCAAGTCCTAACACATGGAAGCTAATACCAGCCTGTAATTCAAGTTCCAGGGGATCTGACTCCCGCTGCAGGCCTCCCCTGGGGACAAGACACTAAAGTGGTACACAGACATGCAGGCAAACATCCACACACGAAAAAAGAATTTAAAAAATAACTAACTGGTATGATTAAAGGTTATTAAATTTTTCAAGTCAAAATAATTAAAGAACTGACTGAGGTGAGCTAGAAGAGCAAGGGAAATACTCCAAAAGATCCCAGGGGAAGAAAAGAGGATTCTAAGTAGAGCTGTCTTTAAATTAGAACCCTATTCTAGAATTACAATAAATCATCAAGGGGCTTCTAAGCAAGCACATGATCAAAGTAATTACTTATTATCGTCAAAGGGAACTTCAGGAGATACAGGATGGAAAGATGCCAAAAGCATTAAGTTACAATCAGTTTGGGAAAACTAGATTAAAGATTTTGTTCATGGTGCTAAAATGGAAATAAGCATGTCAGAACACTGAGCAGACCATAGGTAAATTTCAGTGACTCCTAAGTAATATATATCCAGATATTTGATCTTTTGACTCTCATAATGAAGGGCTCCTAGAGCAATACACACACAATAGCATACTGTTTCTTAAACGTACCTCAGGGCTAATATGAATCAACCTCTTAGCAGAAAACTGTTGAACATGAAGAGACACTAGCCCACTCAACATTTGGCACTGGCAGGCCTTGCCCTTCTCTCCCATTTCCTCTGCCTTATCTCCTTATTTGGCTACTTCCTCCTCCTGAGGCTGACTACTACCAAGCAATCAGCAATCAGAAGTCCGCTTTGGTTCACCTAATTAACATGCCAATTAAAATTAAATACCTCGTACTAACACAGGTTTCCCCCCCACACCTTAACTTTATAAACCGCCACCTGCTTATCCACCATGTCTGTCTTTCACTTCTTTATGTCTCCAGAGGGAAAAACACTCCTTCCTCCCCCCCTTTCCCTTGTTCTCTTCCTTCTCCCTCATACCCTACCTCCTTTACCACAGTGTCCTAGCCCACTCTAGCATAGACCTCTCCTTTTCCTCCTTTAAAACTTGCCTCCGCAAGGTCATTTGCTGCTGTTTTCTGCCTGAATCAGAAAGCAGCCACTTTAACTTCCCTCTCTATGAAAACAGGTGTTTGGGTGTGGTTTGTGCCTAAGCTAGGGTCCAGGAGGAAGCCCCCACTATTCAGGAGTCTCTTTCAGAACTCGTAAATTACCAGGGAAGCATATCTGGGATTTCTAGGACCTCTCTTAAGCATTTTTAAAAAGGTATCTCAGATGATCCTAGTACAGTTGGTCCCTGCATTCCACTCTAGCCATTTACCTCCCTAGCTTCAACACCAGCAGGCTAGCTACACCTGCTATCTCAATTATGAAGGTTAAATAAGCATGCACATTAAATACTCAGCTTTGGCTCTGACAAGATGCCAAATAGCATATTCTGAATATGCTATTCAGAATTTAGATACTAGGTTGTCTGTAAAACAGACGACTGAATGGCTTCCCTACAGTCCCTGCTTTGCTGTATTCATGAAACCCAGCACCTGACCTTTTTCCTTTCCACTGCCATGAAGGAGCTCTTACACGGTCCCTCTGATGCTCAGCCCATCTACTTCCAGTACTCTTTCCTCTGACCTTTCTCCTCTCTCATTTCCTAGAAGACTTGTGGACAAGATTTAGATATTACAAACTGAGACAATACAAGGAACTGAAGGAGACAAATCAACCTTTCAGTACCTCTTCTGCTCACGCTTATTCAGGCGCACGCATTCATTTCTTGGATGTTACAAACAAACCCAGTTCTGGGCCAGAAGCCCTGACAATAAGGCAAAGTGTACAAATGTCACAATTACTTAAATCCATGTTCATTTTTCTCAAATTATTTTTGGATATTCAGTAGGCATTAGGGAACTTTAATAGATTCTGATCAGTAACATAAAACTTGTTGCTTTCCCCCAAATACCCCATATCACCCATAGACAAGAATAGAACAGATTTGTTAATTTTTCATTTATATTTTTGTTAAATATAAACTAGGATTAAATTCTCAATCTATGTAGACGAAATAATACAGTTTGGCAGTATTCTTTAAATGTCCGGTCATCTTCTACCTTTCCCCTTTTCTCAATTCATTCTGTCTTATCACATGTATTTTATCCATCAACATCAGGCTGCAGGATCAGTATACTTGGAATTCATTAAGCCTGTTTACAATTTCCAAACTATCTAAATACGACACATTTCAAAAGACCTAAATGCCTAAAGACATTACAAGAAGCCGAAGTGCATCCATAACTCCTTTGACCTTGGAAAGAGTATTACACTTCCAATGTGTGTCTCTAGATGGGCTGCAGCTGAATGACAAGGCTTCAGTTTAAGTGCATCACAGCTAAGTTAACTGGAAACTGCTTCATCTTGTCAAATCAGAGATTCTCTTGCTTCAAGGCTCTTGAGTTGAGATTTCTTCTTCTGTAAAATTGATTTTTTAAAGGAGGAAAATAAACATTACAAAGAAAAGTAGAAACAATTCTAAGTAGTAACATATTTCTTGATTTCGAGAAGGCTCACTTTGTGCAAGACTCACTAATAAATAATAAATAAAATTGCCATTTCTACTTAAATGCTTTTTCTCCAAAATTCTCCTAGAACACTTTTCAAAAACCCAGTGTTTAATTAAATTGGGAAAATCAAAGTGATAAGCAAGGAAATCAGTATAACAAGGTCTATATTTGTTCTAAAATATTGATATAGTTTAAATTATTTTTCTTTTAAAGATTTATTTATTTATTATGTATATAGTGTTCTGTCTGCATGTCTGCCTGCAGGCCAGAAGAGGACACCAGATCTCATTACAGATCTGAGCCACAGTGTGGTTGCTGGGAATTGAACTCAGGACCTCTGAAAGAACAGTCAGTGTTCTCAACCTCTGAGCCATCTCACCAGCTCTTAATTCTTTATTATGCAACTTTTAAAACATGAAAATAGGAGAATTATGATTAATAAAATGTGCTGACAACTTGGCTTCAATAACTTATTGTTACAGGTAGAACTCTGCCTACCCAGACACTATGATTATATTTTGAAAGATAGATTTGTCTGTCTCTCTCCATGGATATATATAATCATAGGGATTCCAAAAGTACCCATAAAGCAAGGGATCACTTCTCTTACCCTCGATGAAGGTATAAACATTTTATTTATCATATTACCAACCATGAACATGCAACATTCACTTTGTACTATATTTATGAAAACTTAATGAACAGGAAGAGATTAGAAATAGCCTGGGCTACTTGGCAAATTTGAAGCCAGCTTGAACTATACAGTGAATCTGGGTTAGCCAGAGGTACGATGCTACTCTGTCTTAGAAAGGAAAAAAAAAAGTTGAGAGGATAGTTCACCAAAGATGTATGCACAGGTGTGGGTAACTCTTACCGTTTAAGTTAGGAAGAAATTCCCTGAGACTACATGGTAACGTAGTCCTCAATTTTTGCTCCACCAAAGAAACTTTAGTTAGTGGTGATACAGACTGTGTTCTTTCATCAAGGGACATGTGGGAAGATGGCTCTGTGTAGTCAGTAAACCAATCCTGAGTGCCCAAAAAAGTATGGGTATCATCCGCTTGCAGGTCTTTGGCTACAGGGCTCAATTCTATTTTGTGTTGTTCCAGTGTCTTGGGATTAGACAAGTGAGATTCTTTCCTTATTTTGTTAAGGGACTTCTTCAAAGCCTCATAACTACTGAGAATAGCCTGAAAACTGGAATCGACTTCTGGAGGAGCTTGTCTTTTTCCAACATCATCTGGAAAAGCATCAGAGTACACACAACTACTTGGATCCAGTCTAAAATTGATCTCTGAATTAGTAGAGCTATTAAGACTTAGGTGGCCAGCTTCTTCTGGAAGAGTTTCATGTAATATTCCAAAACCACTCAGCCTCTGAAAAGGGTCCCATGACGGAGTTTTATGTGTGGAAGGTTCACTGCAGGAAGCTTGTGAGTGCTCCAATAGTTGGACAGAGTCCTCTTCTCTTTTACCCAACACATCTATCCCACTGCCCACAGCAAGGGAGAAGGCCGCTATTTGTCCGGTTTCTGAAAGTCTGGTGGCTGCACACTCTAACTCTTGCTCACAAAGCATTTTCTTATTTATCGAGTCTGACTCTTCTTGCATCGGGGGTTCACTGACCTGACTTGTCACCAAAGGTTTTTGAGGTACACTTTTGGGCTGATCTGAAACAGCTTTTTCTTCAGGCAAATAGGATTGATCAAAATCGGAAGAAAAAATAGCCATGCTTAGTTCCCTCTGATTCTTCAGTGTCAGCAAAGACTCTGGAGACACTCCTCTAGCTTTTACGTCTACTAGAATCGAATCTGAACTTCCGTCATCTTCAGTTTCAACAGCTTTTCTCCATGAGCTCCTAATTTCAGTTACTAATTAATGTGAAGAAAAAAAACCATAATTTACTATTTACATATTCCCAAACACATGCAATGAAAATCTTCAATCTAGTGCTGAAAATAAAACTACTTCCTCAGTCCAAGTTCCATACACATGCTGGCATGATGAGAAACCTTCATCTCCAAATGCCCAAAATCAAGTCAGTACACACAATAACAGCTGTTCCTAAAACACACATAACACCTCTAGGTGATACATGTGATTGCATACATAAAAAATTTATTTTCTTGTCCATCCATACCAGAAGTGGGAGGAATTATTTTTTTTGATAAAAGGATTAGATATTAATTTAATCTCTGTTGACTATTTGATCTCCCACAACTCCTCAAATCTTTCATTGTAGCATGGAAATGGCTATTAACAATATGTTGACAAATTAGCAAGGCTGTGTTAAATATAACAACAAAAAAAAAACCAACACTGCAGGACCATTTACTTCACTGGGTGTCATCTGAAGAACACCAACCTAGGCTGTTTCACTTCAATATGAATTATATCCGCAAAGAGGAAACTGTCTTAATCATTTAACCCAAACGATCTACATTGGTTAAATAAAAAACTGTGTATCAGACGTCTGCCTACCCAATTGTAAATATTAGGGGGAAACATTTGACGCTATGATTATTTTTACCAAAGAGTAAAAATATTTCAAGCAGTATGATGGTTGCATATGACTGTTGACTAAAAAACATAATCCCCGTACCCACTAAACACATTTATTTATGTAGACAGAGAGTGCGTGTGCGTGTGTGTGTGTGTGTGTGTGTGCGCACATGTGTGTGTATGCACATACACATGCTATGATACAGGTATGAGTCAGAGCACAACTCCCGGGGGTTCATTCTCTCCTTCTACTATGTAAGAGATGGCTCAACTGGCCCCAGAATTTTTTCTCAAGTAAAATAAAATATCTTGTAGAAAAATAGCCACGTAACACATTAAAACAAAACTAGAATACCAAGACTGATTGTGCTTTTGTGTAGGTACACTAAAGTCACAACATTACTAACGAATAATTGTTGATCACACTGAATACTACAATAAAATTTCATCATATCAGAATAAAAGTCATTGCCAACGAAACAAAAAATACAGAAACAGTCCTAGACTGTTTTCAAAGAACTGTCAGATCATTAGTCTGACAGTGGCAATGTCTTAGGAAGGGAAAACAGGACAGAAGGCATAACTTAAGCAGGGTGGTGGTGGCGCACACCTTTAATCAAAGCACTCAGGAGGCAGAGGCAGGCCTGGTTTACAAGAGCTAGTTCTAGGACAGGCTCCAAAGCTAAAGAGAAACCCTGTCTCAAAAAAACCAAAAACAAACAAACAAACAAACAAACAAAAAAGCATAACTTACTCAAGTTTTCTGGAGTTCGGGGAATTTGTTTCCTAGTTAAGAAAGGATTAGAAATTAGAGTGTCAATCAGCTCCTCCAATTTTATTTCTTTTCCTTCAGAGAACTGTGGTGAATCAGACAGAACTACTCTGGCAACCTGCAACAGAAAAGAAAAAGAAAATGACCAAGCCCAGACAAAACTCCAATAGGAACTGTGAGCACATCAAAGCCGGCAGTTCATCACTAACAGATGACAGATTAGACAGTAAGGAAGCTCCCTGACATGCTGCAGATAGTCCAGGTACCATCCTGACGCAAGATGAAACACAAACTAAATTTAGCAAGGTGTAGTGATGAACACCTTAACACACACTAACACACACATGCTTGCGCGTGCGCACGCACACACGCACACACGCACGCACACAGGACACAGGCAGATAGATCGGATTTCAAGGTCAGCCTGCTCTACAGAGTGAGTTACAGGACAGCCAGAGAGAGCTACATAGTAAAACCTTGTGAGAGAGTGTGTGTTAGGGGAGGGAGAAAACTTTTATACTCAAAGATATTGGGTTTTGATTTTTGTTTTTTAAAACAGGGTTTCTTGGGCTGGAGAGATGGCTCAGAGGTTAAGAGCACTGACTGCTCTTCCAGAGGTCCTGAGTTCAATTCCCAGCAACCACATGGTGGCTCACAACCATCTGTAATGAGATCTGGTGCCCTCTTCTGGCATGTAGGCATACATGGAAGCTGAACACTGTGTACATAATAAATAAATCTTTAAAAAAAAAACAAAAAAAACAGGGTTTCTTTGTGTAGCTGATTGTCCGGGAACTTTAGCTTAATCCAAGCATTAAGCTTAATCCCAGCATTTCAGAGACAGGAAAACCATCATCAAGAATTCAAGGCCAGCTGGGGCTATGAAAAGATCCTGTCTCAAACCACTAAATAAATGAATATTCATTTTACTTTCAGTGTCATGAGATTTTAGGATTCTCTCCTTCTATCCCACCTTATTCCACTGTTAATTTTTTTATTGTGTTTTGAGGTCTTTTCTAATTTTTTTAATTTATTTACTTTTTTGCCTGCACACATGTGTGTGTACCCTGTTGGATCCCCTCAAATTAGGGTTATGGGTGACTAAGTCAAAATGTGGATGCTAGAAATCAAACCTGGGTCCTCCGGACAAGCAACAAGTGATCTTAACCACTGAGCCATCTCTCAGGCCCATATTTTTTTTGTTTTGCTTTCTGAGACAAGAGTCTCATGTAACCTAGGATTGCTTGGAACTCACTATTTAGCAGAGAATGACCTTGAATTCCTAACCATCCTGCCTCCATTTCCCAAGAGCAATCTAAATTCTATTAAACTGAAAATATGCATTACTTTCCATAACTAGGAAATTCCATTGTTAAAAGAACTGATCATCTTTGTGGTGTAGTCAATAAAGAGAATCAACAGAATATTAGAAACTTAGGAGCATTTAGAAACCATGAAATTGGCCTCATGCTACAAATAGAATAGTTGGCATTAATTCCATTCTCTGATACTGTACAGTGCCTATTTAGTAGGGTCAGACTGATAAGGAGATGCTAAACCCAAATTAATAGTCTTTATTAAAGGCCTATTTTTAAGTCACTTGGAAATAAACTGTCATATGCTAAGACTGCTTAATCAAACATTAATTCAAATAATGTTAAATTATAAAACAATCAAGATAGCAACAGTGGAAAGCCTGAGTATTTGATTTGTATAAACTGACCTCTGGGTACTGATCAAGTCACTTGACAAAATAAAAACATTGCTACAATGACCTGAGTTTGATTCCAGGGACCCATGGTAGAAAGAGAGAACCAACTTCTCCAAGTTGTCCTCTACCTCCACATTTACGTAATATAAACACACACACACACACACACACACACACACAAGAACTTTTTCCATTAAAAAAAAAAAAAAAACACTAAGGGAGCCAGAGAGACGGATCAGCAGTCAAGAACTCCTGCAGAGGACCTAGGTTTAGTTCCCGGTACCCACATGATGGCTCACAACCATCAATAGTAACTCTACCTCCAGGGATCTAATACCCTCTTCTGACTTCTGCAGACACTGCACATATGTGATGCAATATACACATGCAGGTAAAACATTCACACACACACACACAAAAATATTTTAAATATTAAAATAATTTTTAAAAAAATCAAGGGCTAGAGAAATGGCTCAGAAACTAAGACATTTACCTAACAATTTATGCAATGGTTTTATGCATTAACTACTGAACATGTATTCCGTTTATACATGAATGATATTTACAGAATGGGAAATAAATAATAATCTCAATCTTAACTAAATAGGTTTATAAGAAATCTACTTTTTCTTTTTTAAGGAGGTTGATTTGAAGCCAGGTGTTGGTGGTGCACACCTTTAATCCCAGCACTCAGGAGGCAGAGGTAGGCAGATCTTGATGAGCTCAAGGTCAGCATAACCTACAAAGTGAGTTCCAGGACAGTCAGAGCTATTACACCGAGAAACAAAACAAAACAACCCCCTAACCCCAAAAAAGACTAATTTTATTTTAGCCTTAAGTTTTATTAAGATTATTTTTATTTTTAATTATGTGTTACGTGCATGTCCATGCACATAACATGGACATGTACAGTGCAGTGGCTGAAGAGGTCAGAAGAAAACATCAAATTCACTGGATCTTGAGTTACAAGCCGTTGTGAGCCACCCAACATTGGGGCTGGGAACAGAACTCGGGTCCTTTGCAAGAACAGTGTATGCTCTCCAGACCCTAGCATTATTTTTTATTATCTGTGACTTCCTTAACTTCAAATTACCCCATTATTCAACAATTGTACTCCATTTCTGATTCCAATACAACTTAGAAAATACCAAATATGAAGAATGAAGCCAGGCAGTGGTGGCACACACCTTTCATCCCAGCAGAGGTAGAGGAAGGGAGATCCCTGAGTATAAGGCCAGCCTGATCTACATAGTGAATTTCAAGACAGCCAAAGCTACACAGAGAAATCTTGTCTTGAAAAAATAAACAAAAAAATAAAAACAAGGGGCTGGAGAGATGGCTCAGTGGTTAAGAGTACTGACTGCTCTTCCAGAGGACCCGGGTTCAATTCCCAGCACCCACATGGCAGCTCACAACTGTCTGAAGATCCAGTTGCAGGAGGTCTGACACCTTCACACCAATGCACATAAAATAAAGTTAAATAAACCATAAAAAAATATAAAAAAATAAAAACAAAAGAAAATAACAAAATGTAAGTATATTTATCAATAATCTTCTTCTAACCTCTTCTGCCAGACGTTCTTGTTCCTTATGGAATGGATCACTCTTTTTCACGGGCAGAGACCCTCTGAATACATTCTTCTGTGTATTCTTTGCAATGTTTGATAAAGGAGAGTTTTCTACATCAGAGTCTGATACTTTCTTATAAGTCATTATGTTTTTGTCTTTGGGAGTTCTCATATTTGGATCCTGAAAAGACATAAATTATAACCTTAATGATCATGGTGATTTTGTTATCTTCACTCCAGATTGATGGGTTAAAAGTAGGGATGTTTTACTTTTTGAGACAGAGTCTTATTGAGTAGCCAGGCTAACCTTGAACTGCAGTGTAGCCCAAGATAGCCTCCCCTAGAGACACTTATGCTTCAGCCTCCAAAGCCCAGGATCTCAGGAGTGTATCATCACACTGGCAACAGACAATACTATTGTAAAGAAACAATTTCACATTCTTATTTAGCAAGAGAATAAAAAAAGTACAAAAACAGGAGGAAAAAACTTTAAATGTAATTGTAATGTCACCAAAAATAATTTTATTATAAATTACAATTTTATTATATTATTATAAATTATATTCACAATTAATTAAAACTGTTTTTAAAGCCAGGCATTAGACAACTATATAATCCCAATATGTGGGCAAATGAGGCAAGAAAATGATCATGAGTTAAAAATTGGCCTAGGCTACACAGTGAGTTCAAAACAAGAGCCTGGGTCAATTAGCGAGGCCGTGTCTTGCTGTGGAACAATCTTTGTACATTCTAAATATGTATTGCTCTCTTTGTTAATAAAAAAGCTGATTGGCCGATGGTTAGGTCAGATTTTCGGGGGAGAGAGAATGCTTTCGGGGGAAGAAGGGCAAATTAGATGAGTCGCAAGCCAAATGCAGAGGAAGCGGGATGTGTAGAAAATGAGGTTAACAAGCCATGAGCCACAAGGTAGAACTAACAGAGAAGGAAAGAGATATCTAGATTGACGGAGCCATTACGGGGCCAGCTAGAAACCTGGCACTGGGGAAATTTCCAAGAATCCACAATAGAGGAGAGGGGGCCTGAACTGGTCTTCCCCTATAATCAGATTAAGGACTACGTTAATTACCATCATATAACCTCCCCATCCAGCAACTGAAGAAAGCAGATGCAGAGATTCACATCTAAGCATTTGGCTGAGCTCCCAGAGTACAGTTGAAAATAGGGAAGAGCAAAGGGTCAAGACCATGATGGGAAATCCCACAGAAACAGGTGATGTGAGCTAGTGGGAGCTCACTGACGCCAGACTAACAGCAGGGAACCTGCATAGGATTAAACTGGGCCCTCTGAATGTGAATGACAATTGTGTGTCTTGAACAGTCTGTGGGACCACTGGCAGTGGGACCAGGATTTATCCCTATTGCTTGAAGTGGCTTTTTGGAGCCCATTCTTTTTGGAGGAATACCTTGCTCAGCCTAGATATACAGGGGAGGGCCTTGCCCTGCCTCAAAGTGATGACCAGACTTTGTTGACTTCCATGGGAAGTAAATGGGGAGTGGAATGGGGGGAAGGTGGTGGAAGCAGAAGTGGAAGGAGAGGGAACTGGGATTGGTATGTAAAATGAGAAAAGATTGTTTAGAAATAATGAAAAATAAATAGGAAAAAAAAGAAATATGGGTTAAGTAGTAAGAATTAGCTAGTAAGAAGCTGAGTATTTATAATTAATAATAAGTTTCTGTGTGTTTATTTGGTACCAGCTGCTGAGACACAGAAATTCCACCTACAGAGTCTTACAACAAATCAACAATAAAAATGAAAATTGTTTTACAAGATACCTTTTCAAGTAGTGTGATACTGTTTGTATCTGATGACGAGGCACATTGTAAGGGGGAAGGCGCAGGGCTGAAAAAAAAAGACAGCAAGTCCAGGTTATAAGCAGGAGGACTCACTAAGTTGATGAATCTGAATATCCAAGAAACTGTCTGCCCCGTATCTGTCCATGACGATTTCACTCAATTCGTCCTGGTCATCGAAAGGCAATTTATTCTAGGGAGGTCTAGTGACAATTAGAGCAGTACTTCTGCCCAATCTGTGTATCATTCTCCCAACTAACTCAAACTTTCTTTGTTTGTATCTTTTACATCAATAATATTTTTACATGGTTAAATGAGTTGGCACACAACAATTTCAACACAACTTAAAAAACAAATTCAACTAACTAAAATTGCATTATTACAAAGTCCTCAACATATTAATATAATTTCACAGTAGCAGAGACTTTACTATTCCTTTAAGCAGACACGGTAGCACACACCTGTAATATCAGACAGCTCAGTGGCAAACACTTGTCATATAACCTAGCAACCTGAACCCAATCCCCAGATCTCACGGCAGAGCAGAATAGACTCTCAAAAGTTATCCCCTAACTTTTGCACACAGACACATTTGTGCCCCCACCACACACAACATAAATACTTTCTCCTGCTGAGCAGTGGTGACGCACGCCTTTAATCCCAGCACTTGGGAGGAAGCAGCAGGTGGATCTCTGTGAGTTCGAGGTCAGCCTGGTCTACAAGAATAGTTCCAGGACAGGCTCCAAAACTACAGAGAAACCCTGTCTCGAAAAACAAAACAAATACTCTTTACTCCGATCCCTTTCCAGGCCATAAAAAATACAATATAGTAATTAAAATATGTATGTTCATGAAGTGCAAGTCATAATAATAAGAATAGTAATCTGTACACTATTAACCCGTTTCAAGTTCTTCTCCTTCCCGTGTACAGAAATTCTTCACTATCATAAAATTTTTAATTTTGCAGATCAAAATTAAAACAAAATTTAACAATTTAATTATTCAAAAATTTAACAAAAACTTGATATTTCATGTCCAAAATCAGTTTCTCCTGTGAATCTTGCTCAATAACAACTGTTATATATAAAGAAACTGTGTGTTCAGTGTTTTAGTGTTCTCCATTCTGCTGATGCCTTAGTGTTTTATATCCCCTGCTACTCTGCACAAACATTAAAATGTCATGTTACCTTTTCATGTTAACTGTAATTTATTTTACACTTTAAAAATCTTAAGAGAAATAACTTCAACTCTGGGATATGGCTGAACGTGGATAAGGCTGGTAGAATGTTTGCATGCCCCATAAGAAGGGTATCAAGGTGGCATGTGCCCGTAATTCTAAAACTGCAGTTTAAGACAGGAGGGTCAAGGTCAGGCCAGCAATTATGGTTCACGTGGAGAAGGCAGCTGATACCTCACAATGCAAGCTTGGTAAGCTGAGTTTGATCCCCAGGACCCATATAAAGATGGAAAGAGACCCAGAAGGTCAGCTATCCTCTGACCTTCACATGTGTGTCATGGTTCATGTGCACACAACGACAAGTGCAAGAACTCAAGTTACACACACAAATACTAAACTTCCTTTAAAAGAAAAACAGAAAAGCTCTCCTTCCTAAACAGCAAGTTTGAGGCCAGCCTGGCCTATAAGTAACTCTTGTCTTAACTTCAAAAGATCTTTTAAATTCTAAGATCAAAAGCAAGGGGGAGGGCAGAGCACTGGCATGTGTAAGCACTTACTTTGCTTACTTTTCAGGACAGAACACAAATTGAACAGCTTTGCTAATTAATCTGGTGGGTTTTCCTCCCAGGGTCTTCAGTTCCAGGCTCTATAGTTAGAGACTGAGCTTTTATTTCTTTCTCTCTGTTTGTTTTTGGATGTGGGGTGGTGCCTATAGAGACAGCACAGTGAAGAGCATTTGTTGCTCTTCTAGAAGACCCAAGTTCAGTTCCAAACATGTATACAGGCAGATCGAAGAATCTGACACCCTGTTCTGACTTCCTCAGGCACCAATGTGCATATACACATTACATAAATATGAAATAAATCTTTTAAGGAGGTGGAGTTATGACTGGGCAGGTTAAAGCACTTGCTGTGCAACACTGGAGGCCTGAGCTCAATTTCCGGAACCCACCCTATAAGAGAGAATCAATCCCCAAAATTTCTCTGGCCTCCACATGTACACAATGGCATGTGCATACCACCCCCCTACATCATACACATACACAATAATAATAATAATAATAATAAAATTTGAAACAAATTAATTAGTAATAGGTACAACATCCCCAAGCAACTGGAAGAAGAGCATTGAAGTTGGGTGGACAGGGAGGTAGGGTCGATCCAAAACAAAACGGGGAGAGGGTGGTGAATAAGATCAAAACACACTGTATTAAACTCTCAAAGAATTAATAAAAATATTTTAAGGATGATGTATTAATATATAAAAAATATTATACACAGTTACTATGTTCTAACTAAAAATATACATAACTTTTAAAAAAGAAAGACAAAACTAGAATTTAGGTTTTTTGTGGGCGTTTTTTTTGTTGTTTTTTTTTTTTCAAGACAGGATTTCTCTGTGTAGCCCTGGCTGTCCTGACACTCACTCTGTAGACCAGATGGCCTCAGAGATCCACCTGCCTCTACTTCCCAGTGCTGGGATAAAAGACATGCACCACCACAGCCTTGGTGGGGGGGGGGGTTGTTTTATTTTCTTCCCTAAAAAATAAGGAAAGAAGAAAATATAGAGATTAAGAGCTGAGAAATACTTTTATCCCAGGACCAAGGAAGCAAAAAACAGAACTCTGAATTCAAGGTCAGTCTGATATACATAGCAAATTGCAGGCTAGCAATTTAAAAATTAAAAATAATATCAAAAAGTAAATGAAAAAAAAATCAAGAAAACATCAATACCACTATACATTAGAAATTTTGCAAAAATCACTATAATGAGAGTGCTCACAACAGGAACGACCTACTACTACTGAATACTGAGTACGATGCTATCTCCATCAGCTTACTCTAATCAAAACCAGCATAGGACTTAGAGTGCTTTGATTATCTGTGAGGATACATGTATGTCAAAGTTCTAAAAATATACTTACAAATAATACATGGTGGTACTGGGCAATGTCCCCAAGTACTAATCCTGCAGAGGCCCCAAGCTCAGCTCCTAAGCATACACACTGGGCAGCTGCCAACCACCTGACTCTCCAGCTCCAGGGGGTCTGACACTCTGTTCTGAACTCCACAGGCACCTGCACTCATGTGCACATACACATAAACATACAACATACACATACAACTCCAGGGGGTCTGACACTCTGTTCTGAACTCCACAGGCACCTGCACTCATGTGCACATACACATAAACATACAACATACACATACAACTCCAGGGGGTCTGACACTCTCTTCTGAACTCCACAGGCACCTGCACTCATGTGCACATACCCATACACATAACGAAAATTACTAAAAACAAAACTTAAAAAAAAAAATAGATGGGGAGTGGCAAGATGGCTCAGCAAATAAAGC